CTAGGATAGGGCTCTAAAAAGCTTGTCGATCCGTACCATTGGTATCGAATGGACTGTTCGTTTACGATCCGTTAACAAACTGTGTCGATTCGTAAATATAGGCCAGATGTGTCTAGGATAGGCCTCGGAAAAGCTTGTCGATCCGTACCATTGGTATCGAATGGACTGTTCGTTTGCGATCCGTAAACAGACTTTGTCGATTCGTAAATAGCGCATGATGTGTCTAAGATAGGGCTCTGAAAAGCTTGTCGATCCGTACCATTGGTATCGAATGGACTGTTCGTTTACGATCCGTTAACAAACTGTGTCGATTCGTAAATATAGGGAAGATGTGTCTAGGATAGGCCTCTGAAAAGCTTGTCGATCTGTACCATTGGTATCGAATGGACGGTTCGTTTACGATCCGCAAACACACTGTGTCCATTCGTAAATAGGGCGAGATGTGTCTAGGACAGGTCTCAGAAAAGTTTGTCGATCCATACCATTGGTATCGAATGGACTGTTCTTTTACGATCCGTAAACAAAATGTATCGATTCGTAAATAGGGCATGATGTGTCTAGGATAGGCCTCTGAAAAGTTTGTCGATCCGTACCATTGGTATCGAATGGACTGTTCGTTTACCATCCGTAAACAAACTGTATCGATTCGTAAATTGGACCAGATGTGCCTAGGACAGGTCTCTGAAAAGTTTGTCGATCCGTACCATTGGTATCGAATGGACTGTTCGTTTACGATCCGCAAACAGAGTGTGTCGATTCGTAAATATAGGGAAGATGGGTCTAGGATAGGCCTCTGAAAAGCTTGTCGATCCGTACCATTGGTGTCGAATGGACGGTTCGTTTACGATCCGTAAACAGGCTGTGTCGATTCGTAAATAGGGCATGATGTGTCTAGGATAGGGCTCTGAAAAGCTTGTCGATCCGTACCATTGGTATCGAATGGACTGTTCGTTTACGATCCGTTAACAAACTGTGTCGATTCGTAAATATAGGCCAGATGTGTCTAGGATAGGCCACGGAAAAGCTTGTCGATCCGTACCATTGGTATCGAATGGACTGTTCGTTTGCGATCCGTAAACAGACTGTGTCGATTCGTAAATAGGGCCAGATGTGTCTAGGATAAGGCTCTGAAAAAGTTTTCGATCCGTACCATTGGTGTCGAATTGACTGTTCGTTTACGATCCGTAAACAGACTGTGTCGATTCGTAAATATAGGGAAGATGTGTCTAGGATAGGCCTCTGAAAAGCTTGTCGATCCGTACCATTGGTATCGAATGGACTGTTTGTTTACGATGCGTAAACAAAATGTGTCGATTCGTAAATAGGGCATGATGTGTCTAGGATATGCCTCTGAGAAGTTTGTCGATCCGTACCATTGGTATTGAATGAACTGTTCGTTTAGGATCCGTAAACAGACTGTGTCGATTCGTAAATTGGGCGAGATGTGTCTAGGACAGGGCTCTGAAAAGTTGTCGATCCGTACCATTGGTGTCGAATGGACTGTTCGTTTACGATCCGTAAACAGACTGTGTCGATTCGTAAATATAGGGCGAAATGTGTCTAGGACAGGGCTCTGAAAAAGTTGTCGATCCGTACCATTGGTGTCGAATGGACTGTTCGTTTACGATCCGTAAACAGAGTGTGTGGATTCGTAAATAGGGCATGATGTGTCTAGGACAGGGCTCTGAAAAAGTTGTCGATCGGTACTATTGGTATCGAATGTCGATTCGTAAATATAGGGAAGATGGGTCTAGGATAGGCCTCTGAAAAGCTTGTCAGTAGATAACCCCCCCCCATATAGGGATCAAAGGGTGCCGACACAATAGGTTCACGTGAACAAAAATCACGATTCACGTGGACAAAGACCATGCGTTTGCACGTGGGCATGGGTCATGGATCATGTGAACAAAGAGGTTAGATTAACGTGGACAGTGACCCTGAGGGATGAGGTTTTCCATCAGTCCATTCGACACCAATGGTACGGATCGACAAATTATTTAGAGCCCTGGCCTGGACACATCTCGCCCTATATTTATCAATCGACACAGTCTGTTTACGGATCGTAAACGAACCGTCCATTCGATACCAATGGTACGGATCGACAACTTTTTCAGAGCCCTGTCCTAGACACATCATGCCCTATTTACGAATGGACGCACTCTGTTTACGGATTGTAAACGAACAGTCCATTCGACACCAGTGCTACGGATCGACAACTTTTTCAGAGCCCTGTCCTAGACACATCTCGCCCTATATTTACGAATCGAAACAGTCTGTTTGCGGATCGTAAACGAACTGTCCATTCGACACTAATGGTACGGATCGACAAGCTTTTCAGAGGCCTATCCTAGACACATCTCGCCCTATATTTACGAATCGACAAAGCCTGTTTACGGATCGTAAACGAACAGTCCATTCGATACCAACGGTACGGATCGACAAGCTTTTGAGAGCCCTATTCTAGACACATCATGGCCTATTTACGAATCGACACAGTTTGTTTACGGATCGTAAACGAACAGTCCATTCGATACCAATGGTACGGATCGACAAACTTTTCAGAGACCTGTCCTAGACACTTCTCGCCCTATTTACGAATGGACACAGTCTGTTTACGGATCGTAAACGAACCGTCCATTCGACACCAATGGTACGGATCGACAAGAGTAGATAACCCCCCCCCCCATATAGGGATCAAAGGGTGCCGACACAATAGGTTCGCGTGAACAAAAATCACGATTCACGTTGACAAAGACCATGCGTTTGCACGTGGGCATTGGTCATGAATCATGTGAACAAAGAGGTTAGATTCACGTGGACAGTGACCCTGAGGGATGAGGTTTTCCATCACGTGAACAGGAATCATCGAACATGTGAACAGTAGGAGGTAAATGAGAGCGCAGATACATTTTTGATTAGGTATTATTTTAATATCGTATAAATCTTAGTAAGTATGTTATATGGAGTATTTTATTTACAGATACAAAAGACGTGGTCTAAAAAATAGTCCAAGCATTTCGTTAAGTTTGTTCCTTTTTGCCTTCTGTATGAGGTTAGAAGTCTTAAGTAAGGTGTCTTGAATATAAGTTCAAACTCTCTTTCTCTCTCTTTTTTCGGAGGTTTTTCCGTATTTCAGCAGATCGAATGCTTATTCTATTATTTTCCATACCACCTCTCCCTTCGTCTTTGCTTCGTTTACCGAAATCCACCAACTAAGCGATCTTGTTTTTACGTTTCTTTGAGGGTGATCCTTCTCAATTTGCTTCTCAATGAATTTAATAATAATTTTGGCCATAATTTCTTCCCTGGCTAGCGTTTTAACCGTTGCTAAATCAGCGTTGTACATTTTCTTAAAAGCATAAGCCATGATGTTTAAATGAATGAGTCTAGTGGTTACAGTTTGACGGTTGAGTTTATAATGATCAAAATGTAAATATGAAAGGGATTTGGCGCGGTTCAGCATATGAAATGAGATCCGGTTTACAATATTAAGTAGCCACGTTGGGATGTAAATGAGGGGCGTTCGAATTTAGACACACGTTGTGGATGTAAATGAGGGGCGTGCAAAATTATATGCATGGAGGGAGCACGTTGTGGATGTAAATGAGGGGCGTACGAAATTAGACACACGTGTGGATGCTAATGAGGATTGTGAGATCACATGAACAAAGGGTGCTAACAATGTGATTGACAAGTTTTGAATGTACCGCCCCCATATTCGTTGGTTATAAAAATCGATGTTTCGTTTCCTCAAACCATTCGAGTTTCCAACTTTTTTAACCGTTGAGAATACAATATTTTTTGTTGTTGAAAGAGAAGAGGACTAAATTGCAGGTATGTTTAATATATTTTTTTATTCTACTTTGTAAGAAAGGTATTAATTTTTAATCATGGTGTTTTTCAATGCTTAGCTATGGATTTATCTACTACCATCAAACAAGCAACCATGCTGAACCAACTCGTGGAGCTGGAAGAGCAATTTCCATTAGACGAGTTTGAACGCAATATAATGTTTGAGCAAAGAATTAAAATCATTTCCCGCCTTATCGAATGGGGTCAAGAGAATGAATCCCTTGGTATAGAGGGAAGCCTAAGCGACTCGTGGACTCCTGAAGCGAGGCAGAGACTGATCAACGATTGGAGCGATGACAATATTCAAGAGGGTTATGGAAAACGAAAATTGGATGAACTATACGGAGAAGATGAGGAAGACAAGGAAGTAAGGGATGATTTACCTTTTTTTACCGTAAAACAATTGAAACAAGTCAAGGTTAAAAAGTTTGCCACGACAGGCCTAGATTATGACATTCAATTCACCAATACTGTTTCCAATTTGGAGCTATGGCAATATCATAATCGCCTCCATGAAATATTTGAAAGTTTACTGGAGACAGTGACAAATGGTGTGCCGATGCACGATCAGGTCCGTTTCGTTTTGCGTTCGTCTCAATTGGAATATCCAATATCTTTACCTTTCATGCCCCGAGAAAGACTAACATCCGAACGAGTTTTAACCGAAATCGAACGTGTGATTCAGTCTAACCATGAGTTTCGACTTAATGATTCGGTTAATGTTAATATTGTGCATGTTGAGATGCCTAATGGGGGGACAGGAAACAAACGTAAAGAAATCAATTTAGATAAGTACCTATCAAATAAACGCTCAATTGTCCGCATTAAAAACAGTGATAAGATTTGTTTGGCGAGAGCGCTTGTGGTTTCCATAGCAAAACTTGAAAATGATCAACAATACGATAATATAAGAAGATCGGATAAAAGCACATTACAAACACGATTGGCACACGAGCTGCATGAGAAATCTGGTGTTCCTGTAGGGGGGTGGTTTAAATGAAGTTAAGCAATTCCAAACTCATTTAAATGAGTATCAGATTAATATTGTTTCGAAGGAACACCAGAATTGTATTATTTTTTCCGGGCCGGATAAGGAAAAAAGAATTTACTTGTATTTGCATGATAATCATTACGATGTCATAACCAGCATGCCTGCGTTTTTTGCCAGAAAAAGGTTTTGTCACACATGTAAGAAAGGATACGATAAGTTACAAGATCATTTATGCGGGGATACTTGTAAATTGTGCTATTCTCAAAATTGTCCGATTGTTTCATGGGTTCGGTGTAACGATTGTAATCGTTATTTCAAAAGTCTGGAATGTCTTCATAAACATAAACAAAGTATAGGGAATGCAAAAACCATTTGCGATTCATTGGTTAAGTGTTGTAGCTGTCAGGCGGTAATTAAACGAAGCAAAATAAGACCCGAACTGCATAACTGCGGACTTGTTCGTTGTGTCGTGTGCCAAAAATACGTGGACGGTGAGAACCATTTGTGCTACATGCAAGCCGACAGGGCAAAAACCTCTCGAACGGTGGATTCTGAGTCTGGCGAACATTTAGACAATGAGGCCCACGAAGATAACGAACCCAGCGAAGATAACCAACCCAGCGAAAATGATAGTGCTTACAATCAACTGCTATTTTTCGATTTTGAGTGTACCCAAGAAAGTGGCACGCATGCTCCAAATCTTTGCGTAGTACATGATGAATTAGGTAATGAAAACATCTTTCGGGGAGAACGTACAAAAGAAGATTTTTGCGAATGGTTATTTCGGAAGGAGAACGCTGGCAGTATTGTGATAGCTCATAACTTTCAAGGCTATGACGGCTATTTTGTATTGAAATACTTACATAAACAAGGAATTGTTCCTAGTGTTATTTTACGTGGAGCCAAACTTCTTACAATTAACGTGCCAATGTTTAATATTAAGTTTATTGACTCCTTATGTTTTATTCCGATGAAACTTGCTAACTTTCCAAAAACGTTCGGAATGACTGAACTTGCAAAGGGTTATTTTCCTCATCTTTTCAACACTGCCGAGAATCAAACGTATGTTGGGCCTATACCACCAAGTGCATTTTATTATCCTGATGGCATGACTCCGAGTGAGAAAGAAAAGTTTTTAAGTTGGCACGGTAATCTACAAGAAAACAATTATGTTTTTAACTTCCAAGACGAAATTTTAAAATATTGTCGTTCAGACGTTGACATTTTGCGACGTTGTTGCATGGATTTTCGAGAGATGTTTCGTGATGTAACCGGTATCGATCCTTTCGAAAAGTGTTTGACTATTGCTTCTGCCTGTAATTTGGTTTTTAGAAGAAAATTTCTTCGCGAGGACACGATTGCTATTATACCCCCAAACGGTTACAGACCACGAGACAAGCATTCCATTCTTGCGCTTAAGTGGCTATCGTACACGGCTGAACAAGAAAATATAGTTATACAACATGCTCGAAATGCAGGAGAGAAACGAATTGGAACATATAGACTAGATGGTTTTGATGAAGATTCCAACACTGCTTATGAAGTGCAAGGTTGTTTCTGGCACGGCTGCACAAAATGCTATTCACGCGAAACGGTAAACTCCGTTAACGGTAGAACAATGCACGAATTGCATCAAGCCACTTCAGAGAAAATAACCTATCTAAAATCGCAAGGATTGAATGTTGTTGAAGTTTGGGAGTGCGAAATTAATCGACAGCTTGAAAGCAACCCCGAGATGAAAGTGTACTTTAATAATTATGATGTTGTTGACCCACTTGAACCCCGAGAGGCTTTTTACGGAGGACGTACCAACGCTGCCAAATTATTTCACGAATGTCAAGGCGCAGAAAAAATAAACTATATAGACTTCACTAGTCTCTATCCATTTTGCAATAAAAATACTCCTGCAGTCGTAGGACATCCCAAAATTATAACCGAAAACTTTCAAGACGTCTCTTCATACTTTGGGTTAATTAAATGCAGTGTCCTTCCACCGCGTGGGTTGTTTCATCCCGTTCTGCCTTATCGTACTCAGGGGAAGCTCATGTTTCCTCTATGCAAAGCTTGTGCAGATACCTGTAATCAGGGCAATTGCAATCACAGCGATGCAGAAAGATCAATTCAAGGAACGTGGGTTAGCGTTGAGCTGCAGAAAGCAATCGAAAAGGGTTATCGTGTTTTACGAGTACACGAAGTTTGGCACTTTGAAAATCAGTCAAGTGAATTATTTAAAGATTATGTGGACACTTTCCTCAAGATTAAACAGGAGTCCAGTGGATACCCTTCGGAATGTCAAACAGAAGAGGAGAAGCAACGATATATTCAACAGTATTTTGAACATGAGGGAATTCATTTGGACCCGAGCAAGATTGAACGCAATCCCGGTTTACGTGCATTGGCTAAACTTATGTTAAATTCGTTCTGGGGTATGTTTTTTTCTTAATCTATGATCCCTCTGTCACATGTTTGTTCAATTTATTTGTTTTATAGGTAAATTTGCGCAACGACCAAACATGACGAAAGTGGAGCTTATATCCGACCCAAAGGTTTATTTCGATTACTTATCATCAGATGGCATTAACGTTTTGGATGTAAATTTAGTAAGCGATAACGTCGTGGAGTTACACTATGAGCTTGATGAGAACTTGGTTGAGCCCAGTGCAAAGACAAATGTTGTAATTGCTGCGTTTACCACCGCCTATGCACGACTGAAACTCTACGGCGTGTTGGATATGTTACAAGAACGTGTGTTATACTATGATACAGATTCTGTTATTTATTTATCAAAACCCGGTGAAACGGAACAACCCACAGGGAATTACTTCGATGATTTGACAAACGAAATTGAACACGGTGATCACATAACGACCTTTATCTCAGGGGGGCCAAAGAACTATTGCTACAAAACGTTCAACGGAAAGATTGAGACGAAAGTGCGTGGTATTACCTTGAATTGTACCGCATTGAAAAAGGTTAATTTTAATGTTATTCGTTCCCTGGTTTACCTTGGAGCAGAGTGTAATATCAAAGGACGTGTCTCTGTAGATATTCCTTTCAAAATTATTAGAGATAAACACTCTAAGGACATCGTTACAAAGAGACAAAAGAAAGATTATCAAATTGTGTATAATAAACGAGTACTTATCAATGGATATAACACAGTACCTTATGGCTTTTGATATAGTTATTTTCTTGTATGTAAATAAAATATGACTTTAAGCAATCGTGGTTTTTGCTCAATTCTTTTCAGATTTAATGGCTCCTAAAACGGAGCCGGGTTTTTTTTTGTTTTTTGTTGTTGTTTTTCTTTTTTCCATCACTGCAATCCCTCAAAAGAGGTGTTGAAGCTCATGATGGCCTCTTCAACCATCTTCTCTTCCTCTACTGTTTTTCCAGCGGAATATGCTGCCTCAAACTTGAGGACAGCGTTCACGTCTTCGCTCAGCATAAAGGAGTAAAACTCCTTCAGCTTCTCGAGCTCCAACCTCTTTTGTTTTCTCCTCTCCCTCTCCCGTCTGGCTGCACGTTGCCTTGGGTTTTCCATCGTGGATGAGAGTGGTTTTCTCTCCTTCCAAGGAAGCGTTTATATAGTGTAGTGTAGCGTGATGGCAGATGCTGGTAACTTAATTAATGATCATTATTAATTTCCTAAGGCGTATTGTTAAGTGTTTGTTTACCGGATGTTTAGCACCGCCCAGCACTCAAATTGCCGATGTTTATACATATATTACTCGGCTTTGAACTGCGGCTTATCACTAAGTGTGCATGTGTTGCAGCGTAAAGAGATCACGCAAATGGGTCAAAATAATAGTAGACAACAAACTTCAAAGATTAATAAGAATCATAACAGGCAAAAAATGTTTAGGTTGGGTATAAGCTTTGGTCGCAATGATCTCAATTTAGAGGGCCATTTACAAATGGGATATAATAGTAGAACTGTTAAAAATTACAAAGTACCCGAAAATGTTCAAATAACGTCAAATGAAAATGAGGCGATCACCATTGCACAGAATGATGGAGATAACAGTTTGGAAAACATTGAGGAATAAAAGCAAGCTCAAGACACGAACTTTTTTTATTTCATGCATGTTGGTATAGCGTGAACATGGATGCATATCTATCAAGTGTATATTATAATATCAAACGATCCGGTGGGTTTGGTGGTGTAAATAGATTATACAATGACGTAAAAAAAGAGGGGAAATTTAAGATATCCAAAAAGAAAATAAAGCAATGGTTATTAAAACAGGATACGTACACTTTACATAAGCCTGCACGTCGCAATTTTAAGAGAGGACGATATTGGGTAGCCGGATCGGACGATCTCTGGCAGCTTGATCTTGCTGACCTCCAAAGCATAGAAAAGTTCAACGACGGATACAAATATCTGCTTGTTTGTATTGATGTCTTTTCCAAGTATGCATGGGTAGTCTCTTTGAAAAATAAAAGAGGCCTTTCTTTGTTTGAAGCTTTTAAAACTATTCTCGCATCTGGACGAAAACCCCAAAAAATTATGTCCGATCAAGGAAAAGAGTTTTTTAATAAACACTTCCAGGCATTAATGAAAGAGCAGGATATTAATTTCTACAAAACGTATAATGAGACCAAAGCCGCTGTCGTAGAACGTTTAATACGAACTTTAAAGACAAAAATGTGGCGATACTTTACAGCTAGAAAAAGCATGAGATATATTGATGTTTTGCAAGATTTAGTATATTCTTACAATCACAGTGTACATCGTAGTATTAAAACTATGCCTGCAAATGTTACTTCTGAGAATGAAAAGGAAATTTGGCATACCTTGTATGATCATAGCGCACCAAAAAATGTAACGTATAAATTTCAAATTGGTGAGCAGGTTAGAATAAGTAAAATGAAGCGAAAGTTTGAGAAAGGTTATTTGCCAAATTTTTCAAAGGAAATATTTACCATAAGTAAACAAGTGCCTCGCAACCCACCGGTGTATAAACTAAAAGATTATGATGGAGAGGAGATCAAAGGAACGTTTTACGATAAGGAATTACAAAAGGTTATCAAAGATGATGATGTATATGAAGTTGAGAAAATCCTCAAAAAGCGTGGAAGGGGGGAAAATTTACAGTACTTTGTCAAATGGTTAGGCTATCCTAATAAATTTAATTCGTGGATACTTGGTTCTGAAATAAATAAGATTTAAAAAGTTGAATGTGTGGTTTCTTTCTTATTTCAATTTGTATTTCACAATGAGCGGAACACATTTTTACCTCACGCTCCCCAGTAATGCATCCCTAAACGTCTTTCCCGATAACAAAACGACAAGTTATCGCGTAAAACTACCGCAGGCCATTGAATTGAATGATGATTGGGAAGTTGGTTTGTATTCCATTTGTTATCCAAACACATGGTATACTCTAAGGAGACATGATAATAACGTATATTACGATGATGGTAAGGGTTATTTTTTGACAGCGAATGTAGCTTACGGTTACTACGAAACGATGCAAGATTTTATCAAAGCCTTCAACAAGGCTTTAAAAGCCGAGACCCAGAATGATAATGTTAGGGCCACGATTAATACTCAAACCGGAAAAGTGACAGTTCATTTAAAAAACAAATATCAGCTAGTTTTGGCGGGAAGAATATCTATTATTTTAGGGTTTGGTGGGAAAGAAGTAAAAATTGCTAAAACGACCGAAAGTCCTCACGTAGCAGAATTGTCTTACATGTCGACAATTTACGTTTATTGTGACATTGTTAACCACAGATCGTCGGGGGATACAAACGCAAAATTACTCCGAAGCATACCAGTGGAGGGAAAGTCTGGTGACGTAATATCCAAAACGTTCTCAAACATACAATATGTGCCTGTCCAAATAAAATCATTTGAAGACATGGAAATTCTTTTAAGGAACGATACAGGCGATCCAGTGCCATTTGAACGCGGAAAGGTGATAACGACACTTCACTTCAAACAGCGTAATAATTATTTCTAAGATGAATAACCCGTACGTACGATACTACCTTGAACAGCAGCAAGGACGTGGGATGTCCGTGTTTAGAGGTTCTCCTTGGCAGACTGGTTACGGTCAAATGGGATTTGGACTTGGGGGTCTTTTTCGTAGTCTGGCAAGAACAGTCATGCAGTAGTGAAAAGTGGTGCAAAGGCCCTTGGAAATATCGCCTTAGATGCAGGGGCAAATTTATTAGGGGACCTAGCCTCCGGAAAAAATATGAAAACCGCATTAAAGAACCGAGGAAAGGAAGCCTTAAACACGGCAAAAGAAAAGGCCGTTAATCAAGTTAAAAGTTATGCTCAAACAGGAAGAGGAAAGACAAAACCAACCACAAGAGTTGGTCGACCCAACAAGCGAAAAACAGCTAAAAAGAGAAAGCCATCTGCACCTGCAGCCAGAAGTCGTCAGACTAAGAAGCGGAAAACAACTCCTGAAGACATTTTCGGTTAAACATGAATCTCGTACACTCCAAATCTCAAATTTGTACCAAAAAAAAATTGGATCTTTTTGATATTCCACCTACTCAAGTTAGTCTAGAAAAGGGTCATTGGATCGATCATCAGCCAGTATCCAGCGTATCAGACAGTGGACCTATCACGTTTGTTTCTACGGGAACTGAAGATTATGTTGACTTATCTAAAACGATTCTTGTAGTCAGAGCAAAAGTGACAAAGGCAAATGGCACAAATCTAGACCCTGACGCAAAGGTTGGCGTCGTAAATAATTTCCTGCACAGCCTGTTCAAACAAGTAGACGTATTTTTGAAAGAAAAGCAAGTTACGCAAGCCACGGGCACCTACAGTTACCGAGCATATTTGGAAACTCTCCTAAACTACGGTCCAGCCGCAAAACAATCTCAACTCACCGCAGCTCTGTTTTACAAAGATACCGCAGGAAAAATGGCTGTTGCTGATCCTACTGCAGCGGATGGTAATCTTGGACTCAAGTCGAGATATGAATTCAGCAAAGAAAGTGGAACCATTGAGATGGCAGGGCCTATATTTTGCGATGTTTTCTTTTCGGAACGTCTCTTGCTAAGTTTTGTAGACCTGAAAATTGTTTTGAGACGACTCAGAAGACTACAGGTATCTGCACAAGCTTTGCATAGAGGAAACATGAGCTTCCCCTGAGTACGATAAGGCAGAACGGGATGAAACAACCCACGCGGTGGAAGGACACTGCATTTAATTAACCCAAAGTATGAAGAGACGTCTTGAAAGTTTTCGGTTATAATTTTGGGATGTCCTACGACTGCAGGAGTATTTTTATTGCAAAATGGATAGAGACTAGTGAAGTCTATAATTATAGTTTATTTTTTCTGCGCCTTGACATTCGTGAAATAATTTGGCAGCGTTGGTACGTCCTCCGTAAAAAGCCTCTCGGGGTTCAAGTGGGTCAACAACATCATAATTATTAAAGTACACTTTCATCTCGGGGTTGCTTTCAAGCTGTCGATTAATTTCGCACTCCCAAACTTCAACAACATTCAATCCTTGCGATTTTAGATAGGTTATTTTCTCTAAAGTGGCTTGATGCAATTCGTGCATTGTTCTACCGTTAACGGAGTTTACCGTTTCGCGTGAATAGCATTTTGTGCAGCCGTGCCAGAAACAACCTTGCACTTCATAAGCAGTGTTGGAATCTTCATCAAAACCATCTAGTCTATATGTTCCAATTCGTTTCTCTCCTGCATTTCGAGCATGTTGTATAACTATATTTTCTTGTTCAGCCGTGTACGATAGCCACTTAAGCGCAAGAATGGAATGCTTGTCTCGTGGTCTGTATAACCGTTTGGGGGTATAATAGCAATCGTGTCCTCGCGAAGAAATTTTCTTCTAAAAACCAAATTACAGGCAGAAGCAATAGTCAAACACTTTTCGAAAGGATCGATACTGGTTACATCACGAAACATCTCTCGAAAATCCATGCAACAACGTCGCAAAATGTCAATGTCTGAACGACAATATTTTAAAATTTCGTCTTGGAAGTTAAAAACATAATTGTTTTCTTGTAGATTACCGTGCCAACTTAAAAACTTTTCTTTCTCACTCGGAGTCATGCCATCAGGATAATAAAATGCACTTGGTGGTATAGGCCCAACATACGTTTGATTCTCGGCAGTGTTGAAAAGATGAGGAAAATAACCCTTTGCAAGTTCAGTCATTCCGAACGTTTTTGGAAAGTTAGCAAGTTTCATCGGAATAAAACATAAGGAGTCAATAAACTTAATATTAAACATTGGCACGTTAATTGTAAGAAGTTTGGCTCCACGTAAAATAACACTAGGAACAATTCCTTGTTTATGTAAGTATTTCAATACAAAATAGCCGTCATAGCCTTGAAAGTTATGAGCTATCACAATACTGCCAGCGTTCTCCTTCCGAAATAACCATTCGCAAAAATCTTCTTTTGTACGTTCTCCCCGAAAGATGTTTTCATTACCTAATTCATCATGTACTACGCAAAGATTTGGAGCATGCGTGCCACTTTCTTGGGTACACTCAAAATCGAAAAATAGCAGTTGATTGTAAGCACTATCATTTTCGCTGGGTTGGTTATCTTCGCTGGGTTCGTTATCTTCGTGGGCCTCATTGTCTAAATGTTCGCCAGACTCAGAATCCACCGTTCGAGAGGTTTTTGCCCTGTCGGCTTGCATGTAGCACAAATGGTTCTCACCGTCCACGTATTTTTGGCACACGACACAACGAACAAGTCCGCAGTTATGCAGTTCGGGTCTTATTTTGCTTCGTTTAATTACCGCCTGACAGCTACAATACTTAACCAATGAATCGCAAATGGTTTTTGCATTCCCTATACTTTGTTTATGTTTATGAAGACATTCCAGACTTTTGAAATAACGATTACAATCGTTACACCGAACCCATGAAACAATCGGACAATTTTGAGAATAGCACAATTTACAAGTATCCCCGCATAAATGATCTTGTAACTTATCGTATCCTTTCTTACATGTGTGACAAAACCTTTTTCTGGCAAAAAACGCAGGCATGCTGGTTATGACATCGTAATGATTATCATGCAAATACAAGTAAATTCTTTTTTCCTTATCCGGCCCGGAAAAAATAATACAATTCTGGTGTTCCTTCGAAACAATATTAATCTGATACTCATTTAAATGAGTTTGGAATTGCTTAACTTCATTTAAACCACACCCCCCTACAGGAACACCAGATTTCTCATGCAGCTCGTGTGCCAATCGTGTTTGTAATGTGCTTTTATCCGATCTTCTTATATTATCGTATTGTTGATCATTTTCAAGTTTTGCTATGGAAACCACAAGCGCTCTCGCCAAACAAATCTTATCACTGTTTTTAATGCGGACAATTGAGCGTTTATTTGATAGGTACTTATCTAAATTGATTTCTTTACGTTTGTTTCCTGTCCCCCCATTAGGCATCTCAACATGCACAATATTAACATTAACCGAATCATTAAGTCGAAACTCATGGTTAGACTGAATCACACGTTCGATTTCGGTTAAAACTCGTTCGGATGTTAGTCTTTCTCGGGGCATGAAAGGTAAAGATATTGGATATTCCAATTGAGACGAACGCAAAACGAAACGGACCTGATCGTGCATCGGCACACCATTTGTCACTGTCTCCAGTAAACTTTCAAATATTTCATGGAGGCGATTATGATATTGCCATAGCTCCAAATTGGAAACAGTATTGGTGAATTGAATGTCATAATCTAGGCCTGTCGTGGCAAACTTTTTAACCTTGACTTGTTTCAATTGTTTTACGGTAAAAAAAGGTAAATCATCCCTTACTTCCTTGTCTTCCTCATCTTCTCCGTATAGTTCATCCAATTTTCGTTTTCCATAACCCTCTTGAATATTGTCATCGCTCCAATCGTTGATCAGTCTCTGCCTCGCTTCAGGAGTCCACGAGTCGCTTAGGCTTCCCTCTATACCAAGGGATTCATTCTCTTGACCCCATTCGATAAGGCGGGAAATGATTTTAATTCTTTGCTCAAACATTATATTGCGTTCAAACTCGTCTAATGGAAATTGCTCTTCCAGCTCCACGAGTTGGTTCAGCATGGTTGCTTGTTTGATGGTAGTAGATAAATCCATAGCTAAGCATTGAAAAACACCATGATTAAAAATTAATACCTTTCTTACAAAGTAGAATAAAAAATAATATATTAAACATACCTGCAATTTAGTCCTCTTCTCTTTCAACAACAAAAAATATTGTATTCTCAACGGTTAAAAAAGTTGGAAACTCGAATGGTTTGAGGAAACGAAACATCGATTTTTATAACCAACGAATATGGGGGCGGTACATTCAAAACTTGTCAATCACATTGTTAGCACCCTTTGTTCATGTGATCTCACAATCCTCATTAGCATCCACACGTGTGTCTAATTTCGTACGCCCCTCATTTACATCCACAACGTGCTCCCTCCATGCATATAATTTTGCACGCCCCTCATTTACATCCACAACGTGTGTCTAAATTCGAACGCCCCTCATTTACATCCCAACGTGGCTACTTAATATTGTAAACCGGATCTCATTTCATATGCTGAACCGCGCCAAATCCCTTTCATATTTACATTTTGATCATTATAAACTCAACCGTCAAACTGTAACCACTAGACTCAATCATTTAAACATCATGGCTTATGCTTTTAAGAAAATGTACAACGCTGATTTAGCAACGGTTAAAACGCTAGCCAGGGAAGAAATTATGGCCAAAATTATTATTAAATTCATTGAGAAGCAAATTGAGAAGGATCACCCTCAAAGAAACGTAAAAACAAGATCGCTTAGTTGGTGGATTTCGGTAAACGAAGCAAAGACGAAGGGAGAGGTGGTATGGAAAATAATAGAATAAGCATTCGATGTGCTGAAATACGGAAAAACCTCCGAAAAAATTGAAAGAGAGTTTGAACTTATATTCAAGACACCTTACTTAAGACTTCTAACCTCATACAGAAGGCAAAAAGGAACAAACTTAATGAAATGCTTGGACTATTTTTTAGACCATGTCTTTTGTATCTGTAAATTAAAATACTCCATATAACATACTTACTAAGATTTATACGATATTAAAATGATACCTAATCAAATATGTATCTGCGCTCTCATTTACCTCCTACTGTTCACATGTTCGATGATCCCTGTTCACGTGATGGAAAACCTCATCCCTCAGGGTCAGTGTCCACGTGAATCTAACCTCTTTGTTCACATGATCCATGACCCATGCCCACGTGTAAACGAATGGTCTTTGTCCACGTGAATCGTGATTTTTGTTCACGCGAACCTATTGTGTCGGCACCCTTTGATCCCTATATGGGGGGGGTTATCTACTCTTGTCGATCCGTACCATTGGTGTCGAATGGACGGTTCGTTTACGATCCGTAAAAAGACTGTGTCCATTCGTAAATAGGGCGAGATGTGTCTAGGACAGGTCCCTGAAAAGTTTGTCGATCCGTACCATTGGTATCGAATGGACTGTTCGTTTACGATCCGTAAACAAAATGTGTCGATTCGTAAATAGGGCATGATGTGTCTAGGATAGGCCTCTGAAAAGTTTGTCGATCCGTACCATTGGTATCGAATGGACTGTTCGTTTACGATCCGTAAACAAACTGTGTCGATTCGTAAATAGGCCATGATGTGTCTAGGATAGGGCTCTCAAAAGCTTGTCGATCCGTACCGTTGGTATCGAATGGACTGTTCGTTTACGATCCGTAAACAGGCTTTGTCGATTCGTAAATATAGGGCGAGATGTGTCTAGGATAGGCCTCTGAAAAGCTTGTCGATCCGTACCATTGGTGTCGAATGGACAGTTCGTTTACGATCCGCAAACAGACTGTTTCGATTCGTAAATATAGGGCGAGATGTGTCTAGGACAGGGCTCTGAAAAAGTTGTCGATCCGTAGCACTGGTGTCGAATGGACTGTTCGTTTACAATCCGTAAACAGAGTGCGTCGATTCGTAAATATAGGGCGAGATGTGTCTAGGACAGGGCTCTCAAAAGTTTGTCGATCCGTACCATTGGTATCGAATGGACGGTTCATTTACGATCCGTAAACAGACTGTGTCCATTCGTAAATAGGGCATGATGTTTCTAGGATAGGGCTCTGAAAAATTTGTCGATCCGTGCCATTGGTATCGAATGGACGGTTCGTTTACGATCCGTAAACAGACTGTGTCGATTGATAAATATAGGGCGAGATGTGTCTAGGACAGGGCTCTAAATAATTTGTCGATCCGTACCATTGGTGTCGAATGGACTGTTCGTTTACGATCCGTAAACAAAATGTGTCGATTCGTAAATAGGGCCATGATGTGTCTAGGATAGGCCTCTCAAAAGTTTGTCGATCCGTACCATTGGTATCGAATGGACTGTTCGTTTACGATCCGTAAACAGACTGTGTCGATTCGTAAATATAGGGCGAGATGTGTCTAGGACAGGTCTCTGAAAAGCTTGTCGATCCGTACCATTGGTATCGAATGAACTGTTCGTTTACGATCCGTAAACAGGCTGTGTCGATTCGTAAATTGGGCCAGATGTGTCAAGGACAGGGCTCTCAAAAGCTTGTCGATTCGTACCATTGGTATCGAATGGACTGTTCGTTTACGATCCGTAAACAGGCTGTGTCGATTCGTAAATATAGGGCGAGATGTGTCTAGGACAGGGCTCTGCAAAAGTTTTCGATCCGTACCGTTGGTGTAGAATGGACTGTTCGTTTACGATCCGTAAACAAACTGTGTCGATTCGTAAATATAGGGCATGATGTGTCTAGGACAGGGCTCTGAAAACGTTGTCGATCCGTACCATTGGTATCGAATGGACGGTTCGTTTACGATCCGTAAACAGACTGTGTCGATTCGTAAATATAGGGCGAGATGTGTCTAGGACAGGGCTCTGAAAAAGTTGTCGATCCGTACCATTGGTGTCGAATGAACTGTTCGTTTACGATCCGTAAACAGAGTGTGTCGATTCCTAAATAGGGCATGCGTCTAGGACAGGGCTCTCAAAAGCTTGTCGATCCGTACCATTGGTATCGAATGGACTGTTCGTTTACGATCCGTAAACAGGCTGTGTCGATTCGTAAATAGGGCATGATGTCATTGATGTGCCTAGGATAGGGCTCTGAAAAGCTTGTCGATCCGTACCATTGGTATCGAATGGACTGTTCGTTTACGATCCGTAAACAAACTGTGTCGATTCGTAAATATAGGCCAGATGTGTCTAGGATAGGCCCGCTCGGAAAAGCTTGTCGATCTGTGCCATTGGTATCGAATGGACTGTTCGTTTACGATCCGTAAACAGACTGTGTCGATTCGTAAATAGGCTATGATGTGTCTAGGATAGGCCTCGGAAAAGCTTGTCGATCGGTACCATTAGTATCGAATGGACTGTTCGTTTACGATCCGTAAACAGGCTGTGTCGATTCGTAAAATTAATATAGGGCGAGATGTGTCTAGGACAGGGCTCTGCAAAAGTTGCCGATCCGTACCGTTGGTGTAGAATGGACTGTTCGTTTACGATCCGTAAACAAACTGTGTCGATTCGTAAATATAGGGCATGATGTGTCTAGGACAGGGCTCTGAAAAAGTTGTCGATCCGTACCATTGGTATCGAATGGACGGTTCGTTTACGATCCGTAAACAGACTGTGTCGATTCGTAAATATAGGGCGAGATGTGTCTAGGACAGGGCTCTGAAAAAGTTGTCGATCCGTACCATTGGTGTGGAATGAACTGTTCGTTTACGATCCGTAAACAGAGTGTGTCGATTCCTAAATAGGGCATGCGTCTAGGACAGGGCTCTCAAAAGCTTGTCGATCCGTACCATTGGTATCGAATGGACTGTTCGTTTACGATCCGTAAACAGGCTGTGTCGATTCGTAAATAGGGCATGATGTCATGTGTCTAGGATAGGGCTCTGAAAAGCTTGTCGATCCGTACCATTGGTATCGAATGGACTGTTCGTTTACGATCCGTAAACAACTGTGTCGATTCGTAAATATAGGCAGATGTGTCTAGGATAGGCCCGCTCGGAAAAGCTTGTCGATCTGTGCCATTGGTATCGAATGGACTGTTCGTTTACGATCCGTAAACAGACTGTATCGATTCGTAAATAGAACATTATGTGTCTAGGATAGGCCTCGGAAAAGCTTGTCGATCGGTACCATTGGTATCGAATGGACTGTTCGTTTACGATCCGTAAACAGGCTGTGTCGATTCGTAAATATAGGGCGAGATGTGTCTAGGACAAGGCTCTGCAAAAGTTGTCGATCCGTACCGTTGGTGTAGAATGGACTGTTCGTTTACGATCCGTAAACAGACTGTGTCGATTCGTAAATAGGGCAGATGTGTCTAGGACGGGCTCTGAAAAAGTTGTCGATCCGTACCATTGGTGTCGAATGAACTGTTCGTTTATGATCCGTAAACAGAGTGTGTCGATTCCTAAATAGGGCATGCGTCTAGGACAGGGCTCTCAAAAGCTTGTCGATCCGTACCATTGGTATCGAATGGACTGTTCGTTTACGATCCGTAAACAGGCTGTGTCGATTCGTAAATAGGGCATGATGTCATTGATGTGCCTAGGATAGGGCTCTGAAAAGCTTGTCGATCCGTACCATTGGTATCGAATGGACTGTTCGTTTACGATCCGTAAACAAACTGTGTCGATTCGTAAATATAGGCCAGATGTGTCTAGGATAGGCCCGCTCGGAAAAGCTTGTCGATCGTGCCATTGGTATCGAATGGACTGTTCGTTTACGATCCGTAAACAGACTGTATCGATTCGTAAATAGGCCATTATGTGTCTAGGATAGGCCTCGGAAAAGCTTGTCGATCGGTACCATTAGTATCGAATGGACTGTTCGTTTACGATCCGTAAACAGGCTGTGTCGATTCGTAAATATAGGGCGAGATGTGTCTAGGACAGGGCTCTGCAAAAGTTGTCGATCCGTACCGTTGGTGTAGAATGGACTGTTCGTTTACGATCCGTAAACAGACTGTGTCGATTCGTAAATATAGGGCATGATGTGTCTAGGACAGGGCTCTGAAAAGTTGTCGATCCGTACCATTGGTATCGAATGGACGGTTCG